GTCAATTGTGAGGTTGTGCTGTGCTCTTATTTGGTGGGAACTCGTGTTGCAATTCTGCGTTTGGTTCAAGGTCACGACTCTTTGGACTCATGTGTATGATGCTGTTTGATTTCTGGAATTCGATATTGCTCATTTATCTTGCAATGTGGTATCGGAGCAAGGTTACGAAGGCGCTAATCTGGCGCTTGTCTTCTGTTGATTCGGTACATGGGGCGCGTGTAATTGGGGGATTTGCCGCGGATGCCGTGCAGTGAGGAGGGCAGGAGGCGAGAGGAGGCGATCCTGGTGGAGAGGGGATATGCCTGGAAGGCTATTGTGGGGTGATTGGTTGTTCGTAGTGTGATGAGAACCATCTGACGTGCGATTGATGCTGAGGTGGAACGGCAAGACAATGCTAGTTGTGCCGAAGCAATGATTGGTCATCACAATCGACGTCAGGTCAACTGGTGAGAATATTTGTGGTTGGGGGGCAGCTATTTTGAGGTACGCTGCTCTTAACCTTATCTACCCTCTTCATCGTCTTCGACACTTCTTACCGTGAGGTTGTGCTATTTTGAGGTACGTTGCTCTTAACCTTATCTACCCTCTTCGTCGTCTTCGACACTTCTTACCGTGAGGTTGTGTGTTCTGTCTTGGGAGTCCTCTCATGTGAGGAGTCGAGTGGACTCTACCTTGAGAGTCGACAATGTTCACGAGGAGCATTTGGGGGAAGACGGGCGGAGCTTTTTGAAGGGCCCTGGACGAAGCACTGGGTCACGGTCACCATGCCAACCCACCGGGAGTAGAGCACACATGCTTTGCTGCTTTGTCCTTTGTCTGCTCGCTGCGCTTAGTAGATGTCTTACTGGGCCGGCCAGCCCTCAGGGAGACGAGAGTCGGGCGTTTATAAATAAGCACTGGGGGGGTTCTGTCCATGGCTGTGATTGTCGTCCTGTTTGCGACGTTAAATAATTCCTGAGGACACTTGGGGGCTGTCCTCAAATAGCCTCTTGATCAGCCATTGGACAGTGTAAGGCTCGCTGCACGCAAGGATAAATATATGTGCAGGGCTGGCCAGCTCAGCAATGACTTGGGGCACAGGGGTGGGCCGTTGCACTCCTTTAGACATGCGACGCTGTTCGGAGTGCTGAGGAACATCGACGTCAAGTGACTTCAAGAAGAATTGGGGAAGGGGGTGGATTCCATGTTACCTACAGCCGTGGAAATGATTCCATTTTCATTTTGATTAGTTAGATGTGACAGCCACTAACACATCTGACAGACAACAATAGGTAGATTGTTGTTCTTTCTGCATTTGCGTTTTGTTTAGAGGACTAGTCAACTAAAAATAGGACCGTTTGTATGAATCTGAACTTACCATGTTGGACCCAACTGAGTAGACCTTGTCAGACAACCGATTAATTCTAAGTCGGTCAGCTCATGTGTTTGTGGTAGGCAGCATTGTCGGTCGTAGTGCAGACAGTGACAACGCAGTAACTGATGAGCGATGATGATAACGTGCAGCCGGACGATCAGATCTTGCGATCACAAGCCCGTTGGATACCCCTGGTTTACCAATCATTAGGACCAAGTGGTGAGCGTGCTTTGCGTCAGGCAGCTAGGGAGAGGCGTCGTGCGGAGCAGATTGCTAGGGACACAGCAGCTAGTAGAGCTCTTGCGGAAGAACGCAGGGCAGCATCAGTAGCAATGGCCACTGCACAGCAGACATCCTAGGCTGTAGGGGTAAGCACTAGCGGTGCTACGGTCGCACAGACCACGAGTCAGATGACTGGTGAAGTGAGCAGCCAGTCTCAGGTACCGTTGACACCGGAGGAGATGCCATCCAACGGGTTGAGGCTCGCGAAAGAGAGTTACAGCGTGTATTAGCAGGGCTACAGGCAGAAAAAGAAAGAATGGTTAGACATACAACCAGGATGAGGTGGAGGCACTCGGACATAGAGGCGTTAGAGGAAATGGACCAGACAAACATGGACGATGTTAGGACTCTGCGGAATGCCCCGCTAGGTGAAGTAGAAATGCAGGACTATCACACAGCCGTCCTACGGGACATCCAGCAGAGTCTGGCCGTGCTGGCCGAACGCGTTCAGGCTCCACAGTCGTTCGCTGGACCAGGTGCCTAGCCAGTGGTGCAGCCCACGCCTTTAGTCCCCACGGTGACCGGGGTAGTCCCATTTACACTACCGCCGGTCCCAAGTGTCTCGCATCTTGGCATGCCGCCAATTGGAGGGCTCCATGCAGGGCCGAGTGTACAGGTTCCAGTTCAGTCAGTGGTCTCCCAACCTCTGTCCCAGGTTGCAGTGCAACCTGCCCTCTCACAGCCGGTACAGCAGCCGGGCCGGCAGGTCCAGCAGCATCAGGTATAGCAGCCTGCAACCCAGTGTCCACAACCTGGTGTAGTGTCAACTCGAGGACAGACAGCGTGGGTCCCAAAGACTGCAATTGCAGCACCAAAACCTTTCTCAGGTGATAAGAAGGGTGAGGATCTCAACACATGGTTGAGGACGGTGCCGGTCTATGTAAAGTGCAAGCTAACAGCGCCTCACGAGGAAGTGCTTGTGGCTGCCTCCTATCTTGAGGGTAGTGCAGCAAGGTTGTCGAGTGGTTTAGTTCAGTTAGCCGGTAATGGACACGACTTTCGCTCCTGGGCAGCTACCCAACAACTGGGTGACTTCCTCAGACTAGTGCAAGAAAGATGGCATAACCCTCAGGAGGCCCAAAAGGCCACTGGTGCGTTATTGAACCTGGGCTCCAAAAAGTTTAGGTCAGTGAGAGATGCGACAGACGTTGTTGAGCATCTGATCTGTATTCCTAGCGTGTGCTATGACCCTCAGGTCTTGCTCACCACTTTCTTGAGATGTCTCCCTACGGAGATTAGGAATCAGATGGCGAGTGAGGCAATGATCACAGTACACAACTTTCCCTTACTGGCCCTCGATCTCGAGGCAAAGATCGGGCATGGTCAGCAACACCCCACGGACGGTAGGAAGAAATCATTGCCTCCTAATGTGAAGGCCAAGGGGCGCCTAATGTACGTCGACGACGATGGTAACTCCATCGAAATCGATGACGATAGCCAGTTAGGAGTGGATGCAGAGTCTGGTAGCCCAGAGGCTTCAGGGGGTGGAGTAGTTGCTACCAATGTACAAAAAGGTAAGGCGACCGGTAGGCGCCGTAGTGGCGCCCGGTCAAAGAGTCAGGCAGACCCCAATGCCACTCCCTGGGATAAGGCGGGGCTCGTTGAAGACGTATGGAGGGACCGGTATACCCGGGCAGCTTGCGTAAGCTGTGGTCATTACGGCCATATGCAGTTCAAGTGCCGGAACCGGAAAGTCATTGAGAAGGTACCGCCGATGATGGGATTGGCGCAGACTCCCTCCTCCTCCACGAACTGCAACATAGCCAGTATGTCTGGCACCAGTTCGGGAAACACGTTAGGCCAGTAGGAAGCGGAGCTATTCCTACTAGGGTCGAGACGGTGAAGTCACCTCGCCATCTCGAGAGTTGGCCCAAGCTACTGACTCTTGTGTCGTCCCGCGAGCACATTCTGACCAATCGATTCTCTGCTCGAAGGATGTGTTCGACTCCTTAGAGAAAGTAGAAGAGGAGTGGTCGAGGACAGACCCACTAGTTTTTTGGACGACGATGGTTAAAGCCCCTAAGGGAGAGATGTTCGTGGGGGAGGTGTTATAAATATATCATATGATTAATATGATAAAAAAAAAAAATATTGTAATAATATACTTTCACCTATGAATACAAATAGTTATGCAATTATTCAAATGGGCGGACAACAGCTTCAAGTCCAAACTGGTCGATTTTATGATACTTGTGACTTTTCAATTAAGGTTGGGGCCTTCTATGATACCTGTTAGGCAGCCGTAAGGTTGGGGAGGTGTTATAAATATATCATATGATTAATATGATAAAAAAATATATATATTGTAATAAAATACTTTCACCTATGAATACAAATACTTATGCAATTTTCAAATGGGCGGACAACAGCTTCAAGTCCAAACTGGTGGATTTTATGATACTTGTGACTTATCAATTAAGGTTGGGGCCTTCTATGATACCTGTTAGGCAACCGTAAGGTTGGGGCCTTAATATACCTCTTCCACAAGGAACTCCATCAGTCGCGCTTGCGTTGAGAGATTGCACTTAGAGGGGCGAGTGCAACGCCTTAGTCGACCGGTAGAGTCGACTTGCGCCAACAAGCAGCCTAAAAGATGTAGAATGTTGTTTCCCGTACGCGGGAGGGGAACTGAGACATCGGATCTCGTTCCCGGTCAGCGATGATCTCCCCATGGGGATGCTCCCAGGTATGTACTATCTTTCGGTAGCACAACCCCAGTTCGATTGGGATCAGAAAGTGGTCAAGCATACGTTGCCCGAAGGAGAGACCGTCAGATTACGTAAGCATAAGGCTAGTAGTAAGATCGAGTCCTACGGGTGCATGTGTGCGGCTGCCTTCTACAATTATTACAAGGAAAATCCGGAGGAGGGTGTGTACTTGGTGTATGTCTTAGCGGCAGGCGAGCCGGTGAAAATGCCGCCAGAGATGGAGGGAGTTGTCCCTAAATACCCTGATCTATTTGAAGAGCCAAAAGGGGTTGTTGAGCGGGAGGTTGTCCACACAATAGAGATTATCCTAGGGTCAAGCATCCCAAAGGGTAGGATCTATAGGATGTCTCCGGCAGAGCTAGATGAGCTCCGCCGCCAACTCGAGGATCTCATAGAGAAGGGTTGTATCCGATCGAGTGTTTCTCCTTACGGATCTCCTGTGCTATTCGTGCCAAAGAAAGGGGAACACTCAGGATGTGCATTGACAGGGGCCTCAATGCCATCACTGTAAGGAATAGAGAGCCCCTACCACGCATCAATGTCTTGCTGGAACGAGTGCAAGGGTGCCGGTACTTCAGCAAGATAGATCTGAAGTTTGGGTACCATCAGATTGCCATCAGACCAGAGGATCAACACAAAACCACATTTCAGACCAGGTACGGTCTGTACGAGTTTGTGGTGATGCCTTTTGGCCTGTGCAATGCTCCTGACACCTTTCAGCACGCAATGAACCGGATATTCCATGACTACTTAGATAAGTTTGTGGTCGTGTACCTTGACGACATTCTTATCTTCAGTAGGACCGTCGAGGAGCACGCAGCACACGTGGACAAAGTCCTAAGTCTCCTACGACAACATCAGTACAAGATCAACCGGGAGAAATGCGAATTTGGTCGCACCCGGATCTTGTATCTGGGTCATGAAATTTCTGCAGAAGGGTTAAAGGCCGATGACGCGAAGGTGGCAAGCATTCGTGACTGGCCACGTCCTCAGTCCATAATTGAGGCGAGGTCCTTCTTGGGTATGACGGGCTACTACCGGAATTTTGTGAAGAATTACAGTATAGTGGCCTCGCCCTTGTCAAATCTCACACGCCTTGACACGCTATGGGAGTGGACGAACGCTTGTGAGGCTGCTTTTAGGCAACTGAAGTATGCTCTCACTCATCATGAGGTCCTCAAACTACCCGATCCTGACAAGCCGTTCATTGTAACTACGGATGCCAGTCAGTTTGGCATAGGTGCCGTCCTCGCGCAGCAGGAGGGGAAAAAGTTAAGGCATGTAGAGTACATGTCCAAAAAGATGCCCTCTCAGAAGTTAGCTAAGTCCACTTATGAGAAGGAGCTGTACGCGATTTACAAGCCGCTGACCCACTGGAGGCACTACCTCCTAGGGCGATTCTTCTTCGTCAGGACTGATCATCAGACCTTGAGGTGGATGAGGACGCACCCTGTGCTCTCTGATGCTTTGAAGCGGTGGATCGAAGTCATAGACCAGTATGACTCTGAGTCACAGTACATAAAGGGGGAGTACAATCGGGTGGCTGATGCACTATCGCGGCCTGTGCTCTCTGATGCTTTGAAGCGGTGGATCGAAGTCATAGACCAATATGACTTTGAGCGACACCATCAAGGGGGAGTACAATCGGATGGCTGATGCACTATCGCGTAGGCCGGATTATCTAGGGGCGCTGATTACTGAGTTCGGGCTCGAGGACAGTGTTACTCAGTCTTTGGTGGAAGCCTATTGAGAGGATCCGTTTATGTCTGAGATCATTCGTAGACTAGAGGCTAGCGATGAGGTCACCTCTTACGAGTTTACAATGGTCAACGACTTGCTGTTCGTCGAGAAGGCAGGCATGAAACGTTTGTGTGTGCCCAGTAGAGAGTCTTTGCATAGTTTATTTTTAGGCGAGTGTCATGATGCCACCGGCCATTTTGGGTATAAGAAGACTGCGGCCAACTTGTTGCAGAGGGTGTGGTGGCCAACGATGATGAAGGACGCCAAGCTGTACGTGGAGACTTGTCAAGTTTGTCAACGAGACAAGCCTCGCACACAGGCTCCTTTGGGGCTCATTAAGCCCCTTCCAATTCCAGAAAGGCCTGGAGAGAGCTTGTCTATGGACTTCATGGACACACTGGTCACCAGAGCGGGAAACGCCATGTCTTTGTCATTATGGATCGGTTTAGTAAGTACGCTAGGTTAATTGCCATGTCGGAAACAACCAAAATCGAGTACGTAATCAGAATGTTCAAGGAGAACTGGGTCAGGGATTTCAGCCTACCTAAGTGGTCAGCGACCGGGATGTGTGGTTTACCAGTGATCTGTGGCAGGCCGCAGCTGCAGAACAGGGAACGCAGCTGCAGATGACTTTTGGGCATCACCCGGAAGCCAACGGACAGGCGGAACAGATGAACCGCGCTGTACAGCACCTGTTGAGGCATTACATCAAGCCTAACCAGGTGGACTGGGACGAGAAGCTTGCTCTCGTCGCCAGCCTATAAAACAACGCAGTGCACAGCGCGACCGGGGTTAGTCCTAACAGCCTGCAATTGACCTTTAAGCCTAGACTGCCTCAAAACTTCCTACTTCATGAGAATCAGTCCACTGTTGCTCCGGGCACATTAGAGTTTGCATATAGATATGAGAAACTCATGCAGCAAGCAGTGGAACATATGCATAAGGCACAGGCGGCGATGATTAAGTCCGAGAACAAACACCACCGCCAGTCTACGTTTCATGTTGGGGAAAGAGTCTGGGTGAAAGCTACTGAACTTGGGCAGGAACACGGGATCTCACGAAAGCTGATGCCACAATACTTTGGGCCGTGGGAGATCTTTGATGTAGTTGGGAATGATCCTGATGGTCCGTCTTATGTGGTAAAGAGCACTCACCCCTGTATTTCACGCCTCCAAACTTGCACCTTTCTTGGAAACTGGTCAGTTTCCTTCTCGCCGATCTGTGCTGGCCCCAACCATGGATTGAGAGGTCGATATCGACGACATTGTTGACCACAGGGAGATGCCAGTTCCAAGACCCACAGGAAGGGGACGTCCTCCAAAACCGAAGCTGCAGTACCGTGTTCGGTTGAGACATCACACAGATCCAAAGGAGGACCGATGGTTCACCAGGGAAGAATTGATGCAGACCGCTCCTCAAGTCGTAGCTCAATATGAAAAGTCTCTGTAGAAGGGGAAGTGCCATATTATCGAAGATTGAACTTCTAAGAGGACTTTCGTAGTATGGAGGAGGGAATGCGAGGCTAAGCCGCGATGAGCCTCTTGGAGGCCCTGGTTGCTGTGTTGTCGGCCGCCCGAAGTGAAGGCAGGCTCGACTGGGCCTACTGGCCCCCATTTCAGGCCTCCCCACATTACTGGGGGTTCAGACGGTTGCACGGCGTCAGTTGGTTATGAGCGCCCAGTCCCAGGCTCCAATTTGCAAATGTATCTGAAGTGCGCATTGGGCCAGACGCAGACAAGGACCAAACACAGGCCGTGGGCAGTTGGGTACGGGCAACTAACTCAGGCCCTGGGCCTCTTCTGGACGCAGCCACTCGGGCCTAGCGGAAGCTTCCGGGTGAGGACCAGCACAACCAGGCAGCAGCAGCAGGCAGGCCACTCCCATTTAGGAAAGGGCCTGCCTCCCATTTTGGCATTCGGGCACTGGCCGCATGCTGCGAAAGCGCTACAGTAAACGCACTATTTGCTGGCTGGCACCCACGCTCTCACGGGCGAGCGGGGCTGAGCAGCGGGCAGCCATAGCCAAGCTGCATGCGCTGCTGTATGCTGGGTGGGCGCATGGTGGTCTTTGTGTGCACGTGGCATTCTGTGAGTAGGGGATCGAGGTTGTGAGCAAAGCGAGAGACATACCTGGTGCTTAAGGCGGACGACATTGATCGGGATCTCTTCGTACCTGGGGAAAGCTGTTGACGTCATCATGCGGCATTGTAGATAGTAGGCTAGATAGGATCTGCCATCTGTAGTCTGGGCGCCGAGCGCCAGATAGGAGGTTTGACATTGGTTCGTCTTTGATGATGATGAGACTATTCAAACATTGTCAATCGTGAGGTTGTGTTGTGCTCTTATTTGGTGGGAACTCGTGTTGCAATTTTGCGTTTGGTTCGAGGTCACGACTATCTGGACTCATGTGTATGATGCTGTTCGATTTCTGGAATCCGCTATTGCTCATTTATCTTGTATCTCCTGGAAACTCTGTAAAAAACAAGAAACAAAGCTATGTTTGAAGGGGAGAAAACTTCGTTTGAGAGCCAAACTGCGCTCATCAAAAGCCTGATCCGGCTTCTATAAGAGCAGACTGTCTTGCATCTCGATCCCATCCAAGGGAAGGACTCTACTGTTCAGACTGAGCTGGGCCAAAAATGACAGCCTCGCAACAATCACACCAGACGGTAAGTTGAAGATCTGCATGTGCAGCTGGCTGGAATCCGGATGGCTGCAAACCTCCTAGGCCGAATCTAGGCCTGTTGCCTTTATTTCACCGGCGTTCATTTTTTCGTTATGTTACGATCCTGGCCAAATTTGAAGTAAACATTCATCTGAAAGTACAATGCTATCCAATTGCAAAAAGAAATGAATGAACTTGAGAGGAAAGAGAGGGAAAGAAGAAGAAGAAGTGAGAAAGAAGAAGATGATGATGTACTCCAGCATAGACCAATGTCAAGGCTCTTCTTCTTCGCCAACCAATCCCTTCCTCCTTATCTCCTCCCTCTTATTCAAACAAGAAATAACAATAATAATGTTGAATGAGTGAAGCAGAATCAATGTCTGAATCCCACTTCTACTGCAGGCACAACATGAGGTCCACCATAGCCATGGCCACCCTTCCTCTTCCTGTACATTCAGGCCGATGCTATGGCGGACTATTGAGCCTTCAGCCTCCTGTCCAAAGGACAACCCAAAGCAGCTATGCCGCTGCCCCACTTCAAGGTCATCACCATGCAGCTATGCCGCTGCCCACTCAGCCACCATGCCTGACTCTCTCCCGAGCTTCCTTGATGCGGCACTACCCCAATGGGGGGCTTCCTGATGCAGCGCCTAGCAAGGAGATGAAGATGGTTTCTACCATAGCCAGGTAAGTGCCTCGCCACTCTCCTCCTTGGTCCCCTTCTCCCTCCTCCTCCTACCGGTAGAGCTCCACCATAGCCAAGGTGGAAGCTCCCGACTCCTTCCTTCCAGCAGCGCTGTAGTACCCAGCGCCACTCCAGCCAGCGCTCCAGCAGCGTGTCGCCAAACTTGCACACTGAAGAATGAGGCTGGGCTCTCTGCTCGACTTCTTGATATAGCGGCCTACTTGCCTCCTGGGCGGTGACTTCCAGGCCGCTCGGCCTCCCCAAGCAACCGGTACTTCCTCCGTTTCGGAGGGAAACATCATTGCAGACTCTGATATTCCCCGTACAGGCTATAGACTCAGACTGGTTGGACTGGTACCGGCCTAGACCTACCCTACCGCTATTGGACTCTAAAAATGCCAACGTTATCTTCTTCTGCTCGGCCTCCAGTATTCCCTCACGCCAACTGAAGTGGGGTGCAGTTTCGGCCTACCTGCCTACTTGAGTGTTTTTCCGCTATCCCAAGGCCGCGGGGCCGCTAGCTTCGCCACTTGAGTTTTTTCCCTGCTACAACCCTCAATGCCACGGCCACAGGTAAGTATCGGCCCTACGGACCTGCCAAAAGTACCCTTGCGGGTCACACACACACTCATACCGACAAGCACTCAGACAGGCACGCAGGTCACAAGCACGCACACACAGACAGACTTAGAAAACACTGCAGAATGCGGGAATCTCAGCAATGCATCCATTCCATCCGCAGAACTTTTGAAATCAGCAGTGTTCTCAGTCTGTGTTATGACGGGTCATTACACTACCCCCCCCCTCAAGAGCGACGTCCCTTCGAGCGGGTAACTCAATCAAAGTCCTTGGATAATGCATCATAGGCGTATATATCAAAGAGAGATCGGGTGTGTTCCGTAGGAGCAGTGTAGCAGTGAATTATGGTTGCTGTTCATAACTTATCAATCGTTCATAGGCGTTAACGACGCGCGGTGCACTCAACAGTAAGTCCTTCTTAGCAATCCAGTAAAAATCATCTAACGGGTGGTACAGAAAATGGACTTTGTACTGTCTATTTCTTCCCTTCCCACTGTGCTTGACAATCCTGTCAATCTCGTGACCGCCATTGATTGCGCGGGGAATCATCGATTCTCGATACTCGAAAGTTTCGGGTGATTTATACGGAAACAACTTCGATGCGTGAAAGATTGGATATGTGCGCAGATGAGCAGGCACATCGATCGTATACGAAGGGCCAAAGGAATCACTCCCTACCTGGTTCAACACCTTCCACGAACCATAGTATTGAGGAAGAAGCTTTCGTGATACACCTTCTTCTTCAGAAAACTCAGACATTTTGACCCAGAGATTTCTTCCCACTGTGAAAGGTGCAGGCTGGCGCTTTTTGTTAGCATGTTTAATCATGGCACTGCGTCGCCTTTCCATAGCGGCGACAACAACTTTGAGCAGGTGATCAAACTTAGCGTTGTAGCCTGGCTGGCCAGGTGTTAGGCCAGGTGGCTGTTCAGGGAACAAATAAGATAGAGGATTGCGGATTTTCCATCCAAGATGCAGCCGGTTAGGCGTCATCCCGGTGGAGGAGTGGATGGAGTTGTTGTACAACCCCTGCACAATTGGCAACTCCTCATCCCAAGAGTTCTGATCAGGTACATTTTGAGCCCTGAGAAGTTGGATCACAGTCTG